CGACATCTTTGTATGGATAAAATATCATATAACAAGTGACGCTGCTGACAACGCGGAACGAACACCAATCCGTGTGAACCAGAAGTTTCCTGATACCACAGAAGCTTTGGGGCAATCATGTTGTCTTAGGTATAGGTTATAAGTTTTGATATGTAGTTCTTATTATAATATAAACGTAAGTAATTTCGTAGTTTTCATGAAAGCTCCGGTTGCCACCCTATGTAATTATATATTTTGTTATTTTTTGAGTTAGAAACTTTACAATATTATATCAAATCTGTATACCTAAAAATTTATTTACATACAGAATAATATACCCGTATGGAAGTTATTAATAATCTGTTCCATTGCCATCAGAAAAAAGAATAAAAGGAGAACATCTTATAAATTACTTTTGAGTCTGTCGAATTCATTATTTGTATATTTTTTATTGACAAATTTATTGGTGGTTGGTGATATGGAGTCAAACTGATTACTTTTTATGTTGAACAGATATTTAGTACACAAATTGAGTAAAACTAAACAAATTAAAAAATACTATTATAACCAATCTGCTAGGATTTATTACTCAATTATATTATCTCAACGACCTAAAAAACCTTTCATGAATATATCATTAATCACGTATGATATCACTCGTTCTTTTGTACTCTTTAAATATTCTATAAATACCTTTTGCTTGTTATATCAGAGTTATAAATCTGATGAAGAAATATATGATGTCCTTAATTTCCGAATAATTTCGTACAGGAAATAATTGGATTTATTGTCAAAGAAAAGATATATACGTATAGGAAACAAATATATTGTATATTTTTTTTAATATTTTATATACTTAACTTTAATTTTTAACATACTAGCTATTAATCCATAAACAAGTATTTAAATCTGTAAGGGCAATATATTTGTTAAGAAATACAATATTTGGATATTGGTGTTAAAAAAACAAGATTCATATATAAAAGGGTATATACCATTATTTAAATTTCTTTTTATCAAGAATTTCCTTCTTGTAAATCTGTTTATTTTAGGTTTTTCTCAGCGTTTAATTAATGACTTTGCGCAGAAATCAGCTGTGGGCACCAGAAAGGAAAGTGGAGAGGCTTGGCTTCATTCATTCAACGTTTTGAGTATTAAATCATATTCTTTGTCCACCTTTGTGACGAGTGACCAAAAAGAAGATAGAAATTAGTAAATGTCTTTCATGAATTGAGAAATAAAATAGGATAAACTTTTTCAGATTAGCTAACCCTCATCCTTACCACTTTTATCATTAGTATTCACATATGTACACTTTACAATATATATATATATATATATATATATATATTAAGGAGTCGACTTTATTACAAACCTCAATATTGATGTGAGCTTGAAAGGTTCTCGATAGTTTCTACAGGCGAATAAGATACCACCCATCAATAACCTAAATCTACTTCCTTGCCATGTAACTTATTTTAGCTATGATGCCATCATCTTGGAGTGATTTTTGACGATACAGTGGATATCCGTTCCCTCCGGATATTATTTACTTTCAAAGCCATTGAGAAATGACCTTATAGCATACAGGAAAATTTCCGGTTTAATGTACCCTGTGGATATTGTATTATGTAAGTCATTAACGAATACTATATGGTCCACAGTTTCGTCAGGAAATTCAACACATAATCAGAATCGATATCATCTAAACTATTTCTTTTTCTAGCCATTGTAGTATCTGGGATTGTGGAAAGAAACATATTCGTATTTGCTACTTAACACTTAACATACGGTGAAGGAAAACATCGAGAGAAAATCTGGACTTATGTCACAATTATAAGTTTGAAATCACCAACCCGTCTTGATCAAGCATGATGATTAATGCTCAAACCTTCTCGATGTGAGAAAGAGGCCTTTACTCAGCAGTGAGCTCTGATAGGCTGATGACAATTGTATAAAAAATAAAAGGTTAGAGAACCTTTTCGTTTCTAATGAAGTCGACTATAACTTTAAATTTTGATGAAAAAATTACGCTTTAATGTCATGTTTATCGTGAGTTGCCTGAGAAAAAAGTAAGAACTTGTAAAATAGCATACTATTTTGGGTGAGTGATAAGAGATTTGCAAAAATCAGGGGGACTGAAACGGCGCACATCCCGAAAGGCTTTTTGCCTTAACCTAATAAGTTTCTAGTATAAAAAATATTCCTAATTTTTATTCTTAACATTAAAATTTAGAAATTAAATAAATAAACCGATCCCTCCATTCTGTGATTAGTTAAAGTGTTCTCTAGTGAAATTGCATTAAGAAAATAAAAATAGTTTTATTTATTTACATAGTTCACAGTAGAACGTGAACTATATTATTAATTTTTAAATCATAAATTTCTTTGATTCAAAATGTATGTTAGTTTTTATTACCGATGTAGAAAATAAAATCATATAAAAAAATAAAGAAAAAAAGATATTGTCGTAGTTATGGGAAAAAATACAAAAATGAATCCAAAAGGAGACTGAACATCATTTATGTTCAGATTTTTAAAATTTTATTACGATTCTTAAAAGGACTTTAACAATGAAAAGTTTTTGTTTACAATTTGTTGACAATTTTTAAATTAGATTCGTTTGGGTTTTCTTGGTTATAGGTACTTCATTTCAGAGGTTTTTGACACAAAAAAGGGCGTAATTTTAATGTTATACTCATACAAAATTAATTTGGAATAACATTAAAACATGTATTAGATCAAGCTAAATTAGGACTCAAGATTTGTGTCGGACAATTTCATCTCATCTGCCCGTGATCACGGTGACTGTAAGGTAATCGAAATGTCGGGAAATATAATAATAAAATATCAAATCGTGGAGCCGCATCCGAGAAACACAGTTAAATTTTAAATGTGAACCCGCCAACTTCTTGGATATCATTATGAAAGTGTCTAGACTGTTGTTAATACAAATGTATTCTAACATAATACACATTAGATGGATAAATCTCCATTTAAATTCATAAAATCTAAAAAGGCATTTATTAACAGTCCCATTACATATTTATTTCGACAATACCAACTTGCTGTTATAAGATATTTCAACAGTTTATTATATTTATTGCGATTAAAACGTTATAGTCAAATAATATACTCCTATACTTCATTTAAAATAAATTTTGAAGAAAAACATATGTGGAATGAGTTTTATTAAGTTCTGCTTTACAATGCCACTTAAATAAATATAAAAAACTATACAGTTACGGCAAAATAAATTTAAGTATATCGTTAAATATTACTCATTCTTTCCAAAGGCACATTGTATTTGCACCTATACAAATTTACATAAAATTTATATTCAGCACAGATGTTATTAGTTATTGTTAATTGTTATGTAAACTACCATTTTTTTTGTTTTGGATTTTAAAGCAAATTACGCGTCTTTTTTTCTTCGACATTTTCCTAAGAAACTAATCTATCTATATATATCTGATTTATATTTCATCTACTATTTTAAATTTTGAGCCTGCAGAACTATTTACCTTTTTTGAGACGTTTATTAACTTCTGCTTATAAAGTAAAAACAAATTTCATTCCAAATTCTCCCCTATCGAACCAATGTATAAGAGCAAAAAGTACATTTTTATTTTCAGCAAATAAAAATTAAATATTGAGCAATTACATGTATATGAAAAAATAAAGAAATGTCACAGGAAAACCTTGACAAAAGAAGCTGTCTTTGTGATCCAACTTGTTCAATATATTTGTTTTATATTCAAATTTTAACCAAAGACAACATACTTTCCTATCGTGACATTGAATCAATGACCCTAACATCAACTACACACTGTTTGACACGACTAGTCTAACAAACTAGAAAGAATTAACCTAAAACATAAAAATGACAATTTTATTGTATGTTCTCCGAATACAATATGTTTATTTTATAAGATTGCAAACTATGTGGTCGCTCGATCATTAAAAAAAATTACTTTTAAAAAGACAGTTAACCAAATATATATAAAATGAATTTAATGTAGTAGGTTCTTTAGAGAAATAAATTTCCAATATATAGTGAAAAATAATAAAAAAGTGCAATTTAAAACCTGGTTTTTACACCACTCTGGTAATCTTTTTTGTGGCAATTTTATAAATCTATTCGCGAATCAAGGTGAAAAATTATTTTAAAAACTGTGAATTCGTTAAAATATTATGATAATGCAAGAAATCCATTATAATTTATGTCGTTAAATGTTGAGATGTTAAAAAAGGAGTAATACAAAAGATTAATTATATTATAAGCGCAATTATACAGGGTGACTGGTGAATTACTATCAATATTTAAGGAGCATACTCGGTACATGATTCTCATTCGAATTATGTAAAAAAAAATGGGTACTTAATTTTTGACCAAATTTCCGTATAAATAAATAAAGTGTGTACACGTTCCAAGTGTTCCTAGTGTGGACGCGTGCGGCGGCGTGCTGATACAACAACACACCGCCGCGCGCGTATGTGTGAGTGTGTAGTGTAGAGTAATCTGTAGGGTGTTCATACGATGCGTAATTAACCTTCAAGCGGGCGCGCGGTCATTTCTAACGGGAGCGGGCGCGCGTAACCGAAAAGACGTATGGGATGAATAAAAGAAATAAAGCCCTAATAATTCAATAATTATTTATTTATTTGTACTTAGATATATAATCATTGTTTTTATAGTCTAATTTTTCAAAAAAGTATTAAAGTTATGAAAAAGAAACAATTACTAAACTTATTAACATAACACAAATATTCTTTGGATTAAAACAAAAATAAGGAACACAAAACCCTTTAACGTATCTCAGACTAGTATATATACCTAATGTAATTATAAAAAATACAAAATAAAAGTGAATTATAAGTTTAGTTTTTATCAGAATCAGTTTCTTTGTCTATATAACATTGATTGCAAATGAAAGTTGTATGACTTCTGCAAATATTTTTCATACATAATTTACATTGCGTTTTTGATTGCCTCCTCTTTTTGGCTGGACATATCTTACAGGTTTCTCTGCATGTACCAGAACTAGCTGCTTCAGTATCAGCAGTTCCTTCTTCTATATTCAGATACTCCCTTATGTTTCTTTTTAGTTTTCTGGGAAGGCCCGCTATCGTTGATCTCTTTTGGATGTACTCTTTTATCAATTCAGTGCCTAATGCCCGTAAATACATTCGCCTTTTCCGTAGAGTCACATTATTTGCTCTCAATATCACCATACTATTTATTCCTGCAGTATCCAGAAGACGAAAGACTAGTGTTAATGGCCATCTATTATTCTTTCTTGAAACCGAATACATTTTTACTTTTTTATCAACCTCGTCGACACCCCCCTTTGTTTTATTGTAAAAAGTAACAATGTTATAAAGTAGGTATTTATTTCTGAAAGTGGTAAATCACCCTCTTCTGAGTCCGAGACGTTTGATTCTTCAGCAGGTAGAGGTTCCTCTGCAACAATGTGGTCGTATTTTCAGAGCCTTGGTCGCTAAGCTCTGATTCACTCTCTTCTTCGTCTTCTTCGAGTAATTGCTCGAGTATTGCACTTTGTGATAACCGCCCATGACTCATTTTATATAAAAAATACAAGCTTGCTTCGATAATACTGAATAATGGCCGCAACTAATGTATGAGCGGAACAAGGATATGTCGCATTGACCGTCGCGCGTAACCTTTTCGACGATAGGCGCGTGTAATATTTTCGACGACTGCGCCGCAACTAAAACAATTGCGATCTGTGGAGGGGAGAGAGCACCCCGAGCAACGGTCTATTCTTTGTTTTACTCAAAATAATATAGCGACAGGCTACTAGAAGTGAGAAATAAATGTAATAGGTAATAATAGTAATATGAACGAAAATGTACTAAGCGCGGTCGAATCGACTACACGCGCCCGCTTGAAGGTTAATTACACAACTTTTGGTTAACTTTACTTAGAAGTTTATTAATATTTATGTTATATTAATTTTTATTTCGTCATATATGATCGTCAAATATCACGTCCTCAAATATCGATATTAATTCACCAGTCACCCTGTATACTGAAAAACAGGTATTTTTTTTTTTAATGTTAAAGGGGGCAACCGAGCAGACGGCCTACCTGATGGAGGTAGTACCGTCGCCCATGGACATCCGCGACATAAGACATGTTGCGGATGTGTCACCACCCCTGACTTGGGAAGAGGGGAAAGAAAAATGGTAAGGGGAGGAAAATGGAAAGGGCAACCGGCTCTCTCACTCATCGAACGAAACGCAGCAACTAAGGCTACTTCACGCCGATCTTCTGTGAGAGGGTGGTACTTCCCCGGTCGAGCCAGCCCATGTTCGAGCTGTAGTAACTTGACCACAGCTAGGCTCTACCACATCTTATTATTTAAATGAAACTAATATTTTACGAATATACTAACCATGCTTTAGTTTTGTAATAAATCTAAATACTCCCGACGTTTTACTTACTTTTCATTAACGGTGATCAAGGGCAGACGAGATGTTTCTGTCAGTTGGTCTTGTTATTTATCAGTTATCACCTACCGCCATCGATTTCTTAATTTACTGGCGTACCGCTCTGGATGCCGGCTGAATGCCCTTACGATGTCCCGAGGTCCTGCGGTGTGGTCACAGACATGGGATTTTATATTTTTAAGGAGAGGTCCCAGGTGTTTAATAGATGTGAGTCATCCTTAACATAAATATTAGGAATCCATTTTTGTAGGGTGGTGACCAGGGATTCCAGGAAAACTACGAAACTTACTTATATGTATATTATAATAAGAATTACATATTAAAACTTATAACCTACATCTAAGACTACATCATTGCCCCGATGTTAGGATAGCAATCCCATTCCATAGATTGTGTGATATCAGGAATCTGAACCAGAGTTCGCACTGCTTTTTGTTCGTTCCGTGGATCAGCAGCGTCACTCCGATGTTGCCCCGGCGATGTTCATTTATAATGAATATTCTTGAACATTCTTAATACGTTGCGCGTACGTAACACACACGAAAATAAAATAGGAAAATTATAAAGTAAATAATTAGAAAAATAGGGAATGTACCAAACATAAGTATGTTTGTTATTAAATAAATTTAACAACATATTTACAATCATAATTATAACATTCCACAAGATCTTACTAGACATATCCTTGTCATAAAAATAACGATTGATAATAATTTAAAGGCAATGAATAGAGTTCGTTATTACTATAAAATTTGTTACTATTTTCTTATGTAAATCTACGTTATTTTATCTTAATTTCTTTTAAAAAGATTAATCAATAACAGTTATTTAAAGGTGGTTCAACAGTAACGGTTATAGTTGGTCAAAGAAAACTCAAAAATTTATGTAAATAATTTACTTTTATAAAAATATTTTTACAAATTATAACTATGTTGCTCGATATTAGCCTGTACAATATGGTGTTCAGAAAAAATATAATACGGAGTTTATACAAATCTTCAAAGCATTAGGGGCATCCTCAAAAAACATACATTATTATTGCTTCCATTGAGGAGAAATCATGCTGTTAATTTTCTAGAGAGCAGTCGAATATTAATTTTAAGAAGTAATTTAAAATTCTGGATTCTATATTATTATTGCTTCTTTTGACGTAAAACTATCTTCCTTTTTTATGTTTGTGTACCTCGTTATCTGGTAGTTTACAATTAAAAGGATTTTACTGATTCTGTTCTACGTTGGAAGAAAATTTATGCACACTCTTTTAGATTTCTCATATTTTTTCCTTACACTATTTTAATAATATATGTTTAAAATATATTTTTAAGAAAGATGCAATAAATGCTTTGTTGTTATTTGCATACATTTAAACCCTTAGTGAAATAACAGCAGAAACAATCCAATATAAAATTTATGGCCGTGGCTGGGGTTGTTATAGTTTTCCCAAATCCATTTGTATTTCTAACAAACTTTTACCCTTTGTTTCGGGAATGAAAAGTACGGTGAATAAGAAAGCAAGAGCAGAAGTACAGGAAAAGACCCAAAATGGAACGAATGGACTGACATCGTTAACTATCGTTCCGAAAACTGTGGTTACGATGAAACCAATTAACCCGCTCACTGTGATTGTTAATGTTGAACCACTGCTCCTAACATTTGGCGTGAACATCTCACCGATCAAGACACTCGGTATTATTGCTAGACCTGAAAAAAAATTATTGTAACTAAATGGTTGACCAGTAAATATTTTGTGAATAATCAATAATACTTTTTTTTTTTGTTAAAGGTGGCAACGGAGCAGGCGGCCTACCTGATTAAGGTAGTATCGTCGCCCATAGACATAAATTTGAGAATGTAATGAAGGGAAAGAAAAGGGAAAAGTCAGGAAAGGGTAGCAAAACGGAACGGGCAACCATCTCTCTCACTCATCAGACGAAACGAAGCTATTAAAGACTACTTCACGTCGATCTCCTGTGAGAGGGTGGTACTTCCCCTGTCGAGCCAGTCCATGTTCGAGCTGTAGTAACTTGACCACATCTAGGCTTTACCATCTCAAAATATGTCAGAAGGCAAATGCAGATTGGGAAAAATAGGTTGAGTGAATCAGCAAAATTTCTTCGAACCTAACGTTGTGGGATTTCTCATTTTGAAAGCATAAGTGATTCATATAAAAAATATAAATTTAATTATTATTAATTTCACCTTCTTATTTCGTTAATAAACATTCCGTTTTTATTCTATTTTATGTATTTGTTTCAAAATTTATATGAAAATAAATATTACAATTTATATCACAAAATAAAGAAAATCCATTGCTATGAATAACTTACCTGAATCAAATCCAAGGAAGAAAAATATGAGAACTACAAGTGGCAACCAATGTAAATTTTTTACCCCCGGATTATCCAGATCCAACAAATAAAAGTATATTCCCAGTGTGAACTGAAACATAAATATCATTAAATTCGAATATTAGATTTTGCATCATTATTATTCGTATAAACAACTTATGCAAACAATTTTTTTAAAAGTGAAATCATCAAATGTTCACAGTATAAACTAGAATTATGAATTTAAATAATAATTTAAATAGCACTAAAGTTGTAATTTCATCATTTTAAATTTTGATCTATATTTTTAAAAAGGAGACAATTAAATTAAATGAAGTTCCAACCTTTGACAAGTTTACATTATAAACTACACGTTTTCTAAATTTTATATAAAAAATAACGGGTTACTTAAGTTACCATGCTCACAGTATCATATATTTTGAAAAACGACAAACTATTGAATAATGACGAAGAATTTACCAGTACATACAGTACATTTTTTTAGAAATCGTTGTTAATATTTTTATAATATTTGTTAAATTAGGTATAAATATATGAATATACTTTTAACAAAACTTTATAAAAAATACTTTAATTAAAAATATTTAAATAAAAATATTTAAGTGATCTAAAATATTAAATAGCGTTTAAAAGTATGACGTACCATAGACAAAGAACAAATTGCACAGGACATCATCAAGATGACTTTTCTCCCAATCCTTTCAATGAAAATAGGGGTCACGGTGCTTCCCATTAATTGAAAACATCCAATAATTATCATTCCAAGATTTCCTTCTATTTTTGAGCCGGCTAATTCAAATATTCTAGGGAAAAAAAACACAACAGCCATCACCCCACTGCACTGTTGGAAAATGTTAATCGTCGTTAGTCGGAATAGTGCATTTCTGTTATTTCTTAATGTAAATAAATCTCTCCAATCTTTAATATTGCTTATGGTTCTGTAATCTGCTTTTGCTGCAATTAATTTATCTAAATCGTCCAATCTGTCCAAATCCTGCAATGTTTTCTTAACAGCATTTTCATCTCCTGTAATAATATTTAGAGCTTCAATGTTGTAAAGTTTTAAAATTATATTAATCATATATTATATGTTAATATATTTAACCTTTCAAAACATGAAACATCGGCGATTCTGGAATCATTAGCAGGCCTAAAAAAAATATTATATTGAATGCCAATCCAACGGCGGTTGTTCCTCGATACGAGAGAAATGTTGCAGATGAGAATAATGACATCGAACCTAAGGTAGTAAATATACCTGCCATGGAAAGCAAGGTACCACGCCTATTGGTAGACCTGGGAACAAAAATTTATTTGTTTACCGACAAGATCATCATTATTTTTCAATAAAAAATATATAAACGTTATCGCGTATCGAGTTATTAGTATTGCTTTGTTCTTTTAAATACAAAGATATGAATTATGATTAAAATCTTATGAAAGACCAATTCATAGTGACTACGTCACAATAAACACCATAATTTATTATATTATGTCTCAAAAATATATATAAAAAGCAGCCTAAGGAAATAAAGATATAGTAAAAAAGACATAGGCTAACTGTTCCTATCTCTTACTTTGCACATGAGGAAGGAGAAATCGTATCGCTTTTTCTTAATACGAGGAAGATCTACAACAAAGGAATGGAGGCCCACTGTGTGTCTGATTGTCCGATGATAGAAACGGGATGCTGGAATTATATCGTTTAATTCCCGTACCACCGTCTACAATGTATCGTAGAAGACCGGGAGGCTAGCTACTATTTTCCTGTGCTCTAAACTAAAGAGATTGGATTTAACCAAGTTGGTTGGTAAGGTCACTAAGTCCAAACAAGTGAGGTGATGTCTTAGATTTCGACTTAACGAACCGACCAAACTATGGGTAGTAGAGCCTAACTGTGGTCAAGTAACTACAACTCAAACAAGGACTGGCTCGACCGGGAAGTACCACACGCAAAGAAAAGTTCGGAGTGAAGTAGTCATTAACCCTAGAGTGCTCGCGCTATGAGCATTTTGCCGCCCGCGGCACAATTTTCGTCTTATTTTGTACACTATGCAATTGTCATGGTCAAGCGTCCGGGTAGCTGCCCCCCCGTCCCTCACCTTCTTGTTTTAGAAATAAGAATTAAATCAGCCCGCGGATAACCGCAGGAGACAAAGGTTGTTGGGGCTGTGTCGCGTTTGGCGGCAAATTGCTCACCGCGCGACTACTCACGGAAGTAAAGTTTGTGGATCTTAGTTTTTACTAATGTTGAAATATTATTTGTTTTCATTGCGTATAGTATTATTTTAATGGTAATATGGTATGATATTAATTTTACTTTGTTTTAATTAATTATTGGGCCTTGTGTTTTTGTTTTATTATGCTTAGTTTATTTCTTTTTTAGATAAATATCGTGTGAAATGACAAACAAACAAACAAAGCCAAGTACAAAGTACAATGTTCGGATTTAGTGAGAAGAAGGTACTAATATCCTATGTGCCTAATAAAAAGAACAAAAAAGTTGTTCTACTTCTGTCAACATTACACAATGACAATAAGATCGATGAAAGTACCGGTGCTGCTCAAAAACCAGAAATCATAACTTATTATAACGGGACTAAAGGAGGAGTCGATGTCGTTGATCAAATGAAAGAAGAATATTCCGTAGGTAGAATGACTCGTAGATGGCCAATGCGATTATTTTTCTCAATTTTGAACATTGCAGGCATAAATAGTCAAATAATATATAAAGAAAATACTGGCCAATTATTATTACGTTCAACATTTCTGAAAGAAATTGCCATGGCTATGATTAGACCACATATCGTTAGACGATCCGGCGTGATTACTTTACAGAAGGATCTGAGGAACCAAATCGCTCGATTTGTGCCACCGGAACGTCAAAATATACCCTCAGTTCAAGAAGGAATATGCGTAGTATGTCCATCGAAGAAAAATAGAAGGACAAAAAAAGGGTGCAATAGATGTGCAAAATTACTGTGCAATGAGCATTGCATATATATGTGCCAGCGTTGTTTTGATGAAATACATGCTGTAAATGAGGAAAACGAATGATTTAGATCTTAAGTTCCATTTTTATATTTTTTATTTAAATAATAATGAGGAAGTTCCAAAAATACTAAAATAATTACCTAAGATTTTCCAAAGCATGGTTTTCTAATTTCTAATTAAAAAAGTTTAATAAATGATTCTTGTTCTTATAGTTGGTGTTTTATTTTATCTTTAAAACATAATTACAAATGCATTTGATTCATATTAACAAAAAAGAAAACGTATTAAGTACGGGCGGCAAAATGCTCCCTACGCGATCACTCGCGTTTCACGAGAAGGCGCGACTACTCTAGGGTTAATGAATGAGAAAGCCGGTTGGCCTTTCCCTGTTCCCACCTTTTCCAGCCATTTCCTTAATCCCACCCCTCTCTTTTCCTCAATAGCTAAGGTTGGATAAGTTGATGAGGTTCATACGCAACTTTTGAAATAATGATAGCTAACAATATTTTAGATGTCTAGTATCTATTTACACTTAGAAGTTTAAATTAAAATTATATATTTTTATACTAACGCTATTTCTCCTATATATACAATGACCACTAGAAAGATGCAGCCAACGCTTAATCCCGTCAACAGTCTTCCTATGTAAAGCAACGGCAGACTGCGAGTAGTAAGAAGCAAAATATATCCTGAAAGAAGAAAAAAAATATTGTTTACAAAAAATAGTTTATTAATTAAAATATGAATGTGAATTAATATGAATGTGAATACACTCGTATTAAGTTCAATTGTATAGAATTTTCAAATTTCCCTTTATTGCATGAACTAACCTAGCATACTGATACAGCTACCTAGTAGCAGACATGGTTTTCGACCCTTGTAGTTTGAAAGCCACCCAACTAAATATGAACCTGAAACAGTTAAATTATAAAAAACTTACTGATGTTATAAATGTTGTATGGATCTATAGATGTTTGTTGGACAAATACAGAAAACTACTTAAAGGATTTTAATGAGCTTACAGTAATTCACCCTAAATATCAAAATAACACATAGACTATTGTTTATCATAATATTCTATGTAGTCTCTGAAGTCATAAAGGTATAACAGTTCTAATTTTAATGAAGTCTCGGAGCATAGATTGTAGATGTCGCTATCGGTTGTTTGCAGTATGTAATGCTTCAACACACGTTACACGTTCCACTAATCTAATTCTGACTAAAACTAGTCAGTAAATTTAAATATCCATAGTAATTTTTACCCACCTGGTATAGAGCCAATGTATAATAGAGATGCAGTAAGAGAAGCTTGTGTGTCTGTCAATGTATGTGATAGAGGAGATTGTTCTAAGTCCTGAAGTTTCGGTATCATGGGTCCAGACCACGTAATTGTAAAACCAAGAAGCAATTGTCCCAAGTACACTAAAATAAACATTATAGTTAAAAAACACACTTTAATAGAATAAATAATTAGGTTCTCATTTCACTATGACTAAATAATGGACATATAGTACGAATAGGTACGTGTATAACCAACTTTAATGGGCTCGTATGAATAATTACATAAATTAAAAGTAAAAGACTGGCCCATATGAGATCTTATGTTGATGGTACGGGTATGTAATTAAATAAGTGTTTATTAAAAAAATTGAAATAAGTAATTCAGTTAAACTATTTAATACCATCAGCTGTAATTTATTACATCCAAACTTTAGTGAGTCACTACTTGTGTTGAATAAGTCATTTACATACGTTTTTGTTTGGTAAATATTCTTCATATTATAAGTGTGGATAAGGCACCTTGGAAAATAATATTACTATGAATTTCAGTTTTTGAGTTATTTCTATAGGACAGATGAATAAATATTTGCAATGTAAAATTGACACGTGAGCAGCCATAGGTGACTGACATAACGTTTTAGTCCATGATTGCATTCACCCTCACATAACATATTTTTTGATAGACAAAACATGTATAATAGGTTAGTATTAATGTGTACTGTAAAAGTTTACATATTTTCTAGCTTATACCGACGGGTATAAGCTTTCTCAGACACCAGGTGCTAAAGGTAAATAAAAATTGTTTTCAATTCGCTTATAGTCTGAGGTCTGCTTTTTATCGTATCGATTCTAAATTAATCATACGTAGATATATTATACGTACATTTTGGTAACTACAGAAGTATTTAATCATTATTTCTCTCAAAATATCAGACATATAGAAAAACTCCAATAATATTTTGTTCGCAAAAATGATTTTTTTCTTATTGTATTTAATTTTTGATACATTGAGTCGATTTTTAAAAAAGTCTTATGCCAGGTTAATTATCATTCTGTTAAAAGACCATTCGGTCTTTTATATGTTTATAATATTCATTCAGTCCCAAGAACATTACGAAACCAAAAATACAAATAGTGATCAACTTCTATGCTTAGTCAGTCAAAATTTATAAATTTGATTCTAGAGCATGACTAACATGACATTCGGGACTTTATTCGTTATATTTAATTCCACTGCATTTAGTGTCTTGTTAAAGTGTTGAACTCGCTAAGACAAATACAAATTGTTAACTCATAGAAAACAAAATATAAACAACGAAACGAGAAAAATATAGAAGACAATCAAATCAACAAATAATATGTAGAAGCACATATGTATTTTTATATCAATGAACTAAATTAAAAACCCATTGAAGTAAACAATGTAATATAAAATTATTTGTAGTAAAACAGTAACTTCAAAAAAACAACACAGGAACCAAAAAGTAAAAAATAATTTTATATTTAAATATTATACTATTTCCTGACCTGACCTATCAAATAATAAATTTAAAAAGGTGAAGGTATTAAATTTTTGGGTTATTTTTAGATCGTTCTAATTTAGTATTCTATTATTACATATTAGTGTTAAGATACTTAATCTGTAAGAGGCACCGACTTCAAAAGATGATTAGATAGTAACAAATTGTAAATATTTAGTGAGGTATTAAATTAGATTATTGGAAGGTAATAATAATAGTTTTCGTACCTCTTAACTAGGTACTTAGTATTTTTTGTGCAAATATAAAAAGTGTAATTACAAAAAACGGTAGAATAACAGTGGAAAAGAAAATGTAATAGAAAAATAAATACTGACTTTCTTAAATGTGCATTTATAAAATGTAAAATAATTTATTTCTATAATTTTTAGAGCATCCTATTAGAAAACCCTGATTTGTTGACCATGAGACCATCTAAGGGATGAAATCTTTTACATAAAAGAAGAAAGTTTTGACTCGGTCTAGAACTAATTGTAAAATCAAGGAACATACATAAAAAATATTACCAACGAAATCATAAGAACCTGCTCTTTTGAAGTTGTTTAGTAACTAGATTACGAAATTTGTTTTCCGAAAATGAAGGTCAAATATAATACACCTTAACTAACGCCATTACTTAATATTATTATGTATGTCTACACATTATAAGGATTTTCATGAATTTTCTCGGGATTCTTTAATCACCTTTTATAATCGTCGTGGGACTATCAGAGAAATCTACTCATATGTATAAATAAATAAATTGATATCAGTTGGAATTGAAGTTACTCGTTCATTTATGGCACACATACTTAATGCTAATTTCAGACTTATATGGTTTTCTCATGGACAATACAGTTAGAACTGGACCAAATTGAAATTAGACCAAACGAACAGCACCAGCTTTCAAATAAAATCACTCTTTTTATTTCACCCAAAAGGACTAACGGGCGAACGGTCTACTTGATGGAAAGTAGCCACCGTTGCCCATTGACAAAGCTACAACATAAACTATCACTAATCACTAAAATCACTTCACCTAGTTAAAAGTTAACAAATATTAAAAAAAATCTAACGAATTGAGAAGTTTCTCCTTTTTTAAATCGATTAATAAACGCAATGTAGCTCAGTAATTAATGCAAACAAAATATTATTAGATATTTTATTACTTACTACATAATGAAATAAGTACTTGAAGTTGGAGTCCACTTAATTTTATTTTATGCATTTTGTACAAAAAAACAAATAATACAACGATATCAAAACGTACACTGCAAATGTAGAGTGGGTAAGCTGTGTAAATTTTGAGATAAAGATGCTTGCCATATTTATGACTATTATAGTATTATGTCTTGTCGTTCTTTCAGATAAGATTAAAATATATTAAATATATACATATATATTTTTTTGAAATGACAAAAAATATTTTCTGTACACATAAAAACTTAAATATACCAGAACATAACGGTCATATCACTAATAAAATAAATAGATACTTTACACTTCAGATTACGTGACTTGCATAATTATGGACAATATATATTATCAATAATACTACGTACTATAAATAAAAATATTTTCATAATTTTTATACTAGATATTTTGACCTGAAACTTTAATAAAGGAACAAAAAAGAATTGTCCCTTTTTCATTGGGGATATTTTAAATACAAGATGTATTGTACGTATCGATGTACTGCTTCTGAGCGATAAGGACAGGAAGTTCATTTATCGTAAGGTTTATCGTTGCTAATTAGTATTGTAAAGTTTTTTTAGGCACTCACATGAAAACCTACATATGATTTTAAAAAAATAAATATTATAAAAAAGTTTGTTTACATTTTAATATTCTATTCATTTCCTTATACAACTTTAAACATAGTTTGTTTAAATGAGATAATTATTTTATAAGTATCGTGTTAAAAGAAGACTGATTTTATTTTCTAGTTTTCTATAAATGTATAGATATCATCAATTTTTTATATTTATCCATATCTAATTATTTATTTTTCCTGTAAAAAATATTTTTACCACCTAAGTTATGTGCATAACCACTAACTGACTGACTCTAATCAAGAATAAGGGATTTGTAACGTTATTAAAGCTGACATCACTCTTCAAAAACAATAAAGCGGTTCTTAATCAGACAATTATATAAGCTCACGCTGATACATAAATCCTTAGTCTAAATACAAGTACATAAATGAAAATAGAAAATAAATTACAAATTAAAGATCCTTAAGAAGTTTTGCATTGTTCCAACAAATAACTTTAAGTTTATGTGTACTGTGAAAGAGTTTTGGAGGTGACCAAACCGCCTAAGAAAGCGATCCAATTTATTTAGGTTATATTAAGAAATATTAGAGCAATATACATCGGCTTAATCAATGAGAGATAAGATCACTGATTATATTAGTAGAGTTTTGGTTCTATTGGGAAAGAAATCCTTACGTCAATATAAAACACGAAGCGATCCCGTGATCATACTCGTATTGCACACCTTAACGATATGTATATCCCCTATCAATGAAGTGTCAATAAATAGTCAGAAATTTTTAAAATGATTACTCGTGAAATATAGGTTTATTATTGTGAACCTAAGGCTGCTATATTCAGTGTAGTTGACCGAGCTCTGATGTCAATGATTAGGCATTAGTAACGCTTCACTATTACTCAACACTTCACACATAAATCGTTAACATACAGCAGATTTTCATTGACGGCCTAAATTACGACATTAATATTATCAGGAGTGGCACGTGTGTAAATATCAAGGTCATCAGCGTACCGATGATAAGAGCAGGGGAGATCTTGAGTAATAAATAGACAAATAAAAAGAAAAAGAGGAGTAAGAAGTGTACCGTTTTGTGTTTATCATCATCATCGCAAATCAAGTCATACCAACCAAACAAAGTATTGTTAACTTGTACAGTTTATTGACCCCGAAGATAATCAAAGAAGCGATTAAGTACTTTGGAAAAAATATTAAATGTGATAAAAGAGCCGAGATAAGAAGATAAGAAAATAAAAAACGGGAGCCGATAAAGAATATGACATACGCTTAGGAATATTGGTGTTTCGATATCTTAGCCTTTATTGCAACTATTCCTCAAATATTTGCAGGGACTTCAGTCAAATTCGAAGCGATTGGGCTTACACTTGTGAAAGGCATGATCTCGTTTCTTCATGGCGAGTCTTATCGAATTATGTGTGTGTATCTTAGAAGGTCACAAAAATATGTGAGGGCTGCCGAGTCAAGCACGGGCTCGGATAAAGACATTAGTCTCAGATCAAAACATGGAGGTCCGCTTCGCTACATTCAATGTTCGTTCACTAACCTGTAGAATGAAGGAACTTGCAGAACAATTCTGCAGGAGAAACATAGATTACCTCCTGAGTATGTTGAAAATGTTATAGCCAATCTGAATATCACAGGGTCCAAACCCTGAGGGCGGCAAAAGAATATGTGGATAGATGTGGTCAAACAAGATCTAAAGCTCTGCAAGACGACGCGTCCGACAGAACGAAGTGGAAAAAAAGGACCAGAAAGGCAGACCCCACCATCAGATGGGAATAATAAATACCACGGAGAGAAAGAGATAGTGAAAGATTGTTTCTAAGAGAGAGAGATCCTTCGATTTTGATTAAATACGATTTTTAAAAAGATTAAGCTGGAGACAATAATTATATATAATACATGTGAAGTGTACTATCCAAAATACGATAGACAGAATTTAATTTTATGTTATACTTTTATGTTACATTTTAATGAAAATTTATGAAAACAAAGATAATTTATGATATATAAATGTTAATGAAGCTGGATATTACTGTATACGTGTGCTTATTTAAAATACTTATATGAGAATCTATGAAACTGTTAAAGAATTTTTTTCATAGTTTTACTATGATTAAAAAGTTCTTTTATATTAATCTCTCGCCGGTTGGATATTCTTTATAAAATATAAATGTAAAGTAGAATTGCTGTGGGGTTCGAGATAATGAACATCCACTATTAATAAAATTATGTATTATTATAAGGAACATCTACTATTAATATATTATCTATGTAAACCACACTAATCTAATAGCATAGCAATAGCATATCATAGGAATTAAGATTAGATAGGAGCAACTCAGATAACTGAGAAGTGTGTTGTAAGGAGAATCCCAATTAGATCTATACTTCCATTATTGATGTTAAATTGAAATTACAGTCTTCTTCATTTCAGTTTCATGGCATGAAAATTTACGAATACACGCGTGTCTATCTCTTTTGAAGTTTCTAAGCATTTCACTAATGCTTTTATGTTATAAGCATAACTAGTTACATATATCAGAACAAATTACATAAGAGATAATACAATTTTAAGAGTTTTTTTAGCATCGTTATTTTTAGTATTTTGATTTTCCTATTATGTTACCGGGGAAAGGCAAAAAAGAAAAGGGATTATATTGGATACTGTTGAATTTTATCAATATTTTTTTCATTTTGGACCACTTACATTATCATCTTACGTCTGTTCTATATAAATATTAATTAATATAAACCATTATATAAGTGATCAGTAATATGCAAAGTTATTATTAGAAAAAAATCTCAGTATGCAAGAATAGTATTACGAAAATTATGCGACTTCTTCCAGTGTGGCAAAAAGTAAAAAGACGAACTCTTTCAATTTACTTATGATTCTAATTCACTGTTTGTTTTTATTGTTGAATTTAAAGGGACTTAAAGAGGTTACTTTGTAAGTTTATATAATATGAAATATGAAGATCTAATAAAACCTAGCAAATAAAATTATATGGCTATTATAATCCATTTATCACATAAGCCTTCACACAGGCACAGAGCAACAGCGTTCCTTCACGCATTTATTACATGTTTAGATTAATATTTCACGTTAATTATTTATTACTTAAATGGTATGATAATAGTTTGAATTATTGCAATAGTTAAATGTAAGGAGATACTTATTATTATCAATGCTTACATATATTGGAGATTTTCTTGATATTAAATACATTTATACATTATTGAATACATATGTATTGAATTAATTAAGATTAACAGTAATTAAGATAAACAGTTTTCTTCGTTACAGGTAAGTATTTGAATGACTCACGAACAAATCTCAAATATTTAGCTTATGTGAATTGTAGGTGTTTTGAAATATTATAATTAAAATATACGAGTCCAGAAAAATGTTCTTTCAAATTTTTAAATTAATTAATTTCATTATTGTTGTATTATATTGTAACAATTTATGTATTATTTTTAATTATTACTTGAACAAATGAAATAAAAAAAGATAAAACCATAATTTGAAAAATATTTTCAAATGTATAATATTATCTGTATTTATACAGGGTGACTTTTGAATTACTATCAATATTTAAGGAGAATACTCGGTACATGATTCTCATTCGAATTATGTAAAAAAAATAGGTACTTAATTTTTGACCAAATTTCCGTATAAATAAATAAAGTGTGGACATGTTCCAAGTGTTCCAAGTGTGGACGCGTGCGGCGGCGTGCTGATACAACACCACGCCGCCGCACGCGTATATGTGTGTGTGTATACCTAATCTGTAGGGTGTACACACGATGCGTAATTAATTACATAACTTTTGGTTAACTTTACTTAGAAGTTTATTAATATTTATGTTATATTAATTTTTATTTTGTCATATATGATCGTCAAATATCAGGAGGTAATAATATCGTAGAAATCTATTTTTATGTATGTTCCCGATTTCTCGATTACTCCTGGACTGATTTCATAAATTCTTCTTTCTTCAACTGAAAGAACCAATTCTACAATATCACTAAAATTATTATTTAGTAAAAAAAAGCCTCAGCAAAACAACATAGTAACAAATGAATTCATAAGGAAAAAATAATGTACTATTTTAATTTTGACCTAATCTATCAAATAATAGATTTAAAAAAATAGGTTAATTAAGGTTTAGATCGTTCTAATTTAGTATTCTATTATTACAAATTAGTGTTAAGATACTTAATCTGTGAGAGGCACCGACTTCAAAAGATGATTAGATTGTAACAAATTGTTAATAATTAATTAGACAGTCATTACTATTAGATAAGATTATTGGAAAGTAATAAAATAGTAATTATCCAGCTTAACCGGATATTTAAAATTTATTATTAGTAGACAAGTTAGGTTAGGAGATGGTATTTTGGTCAAAATATATCTTTTCCTTTTTAGTTTCTGTATTCTTATGTTGGTTTTTTTAAAGCAGTTTTTTTACTTAAACATAATCTTATAAAAGGGCGTAGTTATTATAAAAAATTGAATACTATAGGGGAGCGAAAATCCTTTTAAATGATAAAACTTCCAAACGGTTTCTTAAAATAGCTCAATCTTTAAAAGCTTTTTGTTTCAATTAGCAAAGAATTTGCGTGAATTGAAATCCTTTGTTTATTTGAATTTGAAATATCCTATTGAAATTTTTCAATTACAAAGACATATATATATGTATAATAATCTGTAATTTTAATGTCAAAATGAAGAAAATTAAACTCGTAAACTATTCTGTAAAAAATATTTAAATTCTTTGGAACTGAAATATAAAAGTCCGCGAGACTTAGCTGAGCTTTGTATTTCTGTAAGTCAAAGTAAAAGTACAATTAGACAAAAAACTATTAGAATTATATTGTATAACATTTTAAATAGATATATAACATAAGTGCAAACTCTATAAGCATCGATTCAGAATGCTCAATATTGCGATATGCGATACTTTAGCCCGTAATCATATCTTGTTTAAGACTATTTGAGTTAGAAGCGGGGTTTTCTTATGAACTGTGATAAGATGCATTGTTTTCCACCGATACTATATGGGGTTTATATTATGATAATCATCGCTTTTTTGATTTGCTTTGAACGTTAGCAGCGTTACGTTTTATTTAAATCTTGATATTTAATATCAGTTTTTAACTTTTAATTTATTCGCTTTATTGTTGAGATCTCTTTATTAATGATGTGAAAGTTGTGAATAGCTCATGGAATGACCTCTTTATCAAAATAATCAATGATAATTTAATTTTTTCTGCATCTTGTGTTGTTTGGAGATTTTAATTTAAATTTGCTTTCATCTTTCATAACACAACTTTAACTTCTAATAAAACTCTTTTGTTAGTGTTCAGCGAAATTCCCGTCAATGTCGCTACTAAGTGAGCTGATGTAGTGATACTTGTCAAGTTTTTGACATTAATGTCTTTAAAATAACTATTTAAACTACACAAAATTTCTTTTGCTTGGCTATTTCAAGGTTTAAGTATTCTTCGTTTATTTGTGTTGAAAGCTATTTCTGCAATAAATAAAACACAAAAAAAAAAGTTTTATATCACGTCACGCTACTATCAGTACAAAAGGTGGTTGGCCGGAATGAAAGCAGTATATACCGGCCTATACCTAGAAAAGCATGTGGCATGCACAAGATTGACATCACACTTACACTATCTGTGTACACATACACTAATACAAAGGCCAGCTTAAGTCTCACGCACTTTTTCAAATTATAAATATTTTAGATAGATAACTATTTATTTAAATTTATTACATCAAAGATTGCTGTTATAGGCTTTTTGTAGTGCTTATTACATTTATTACAATTTAAACATTGTAATAATATAATAGTCCTACATTTCTTACATAATAAAATACTCGAAATATTATTTTTATGTTTGTGGGGGGGGCTAATTTTTCTATTGTAAAATCGTTTTGCATATTATAAAAACATATTTCCTTACATATAATTATTTTAATAGGTAAATTATAAAAATAAGTATATTTACATATGTAACAGTTATAAAATTATATTTTAATATACAATATGGAACGCTCAATTACCCAATTAGTTAAAGACAGGATATTTTAATTGGGGAGCTACAGGGACACGATCACTTAACAAACAAAAGCCTGAAGAGAACAGTATATTAATTACAAAGTAATGTGAATAAAATATTTTAAAATACCTTTTTTTAATTTTACAGTGATTGGTCAAAAGACTAGTCAAGAAAAGGCAAATGTCTTAAAAAAAATGTAAGTTTGTCCCGTTTATACACCGTTTTTAATGACTGTAAGTAAATTGAATTTAAAGTAAGTAAGTAGTGAACTTTGAATGATCAGTAATTTTTTATAATTTCATAAAAAACATCTAAAGTCTAAACAAAATTGTATATTAATATTATGTTGAACTGAGGTAACAAACTTGAGTATAATTCATTTTATATACCGTGTTAGGAACGTTCACATTATTTCATTATTACTGGCTAGCTTGAATTTCTGTTTGCACCCTTCACTTACGGTGGTGTAGTTACATCTTTAGACTGTGGTTTTACTTGTAAAATGCGTTAGTATAAATACACATCGGAAACCATATATGACAGTTCGATACATATTTTAATTAGGGTGTATTACGAATTTCAGAAGCCCTAAAATTGGTTTATTATTATAAATTATTGGTTATATTTTGTCTCTTTACGAAATATTTTTCTACATTTTGACCTTCTATAAGTGTGATAACAAATCAGATTATTGTTATGCAATTTTATTTTTGCCAAAATTATATGCAATAAAATCTTAATCTAGGAATGAATATTTTTGATAAGTTATCAATATTAGTTGAGGTGTTCTTCTATAAATTAAGATTTCGGTCTGCATATTATTTGTACGTAAAGCATGATAAATAAAAAAAATCTTGATGAATGTTGATCAAAATACAACCATCTTGTAGTATGTATTTGTAGGAATTGATAATAATTAATCATATAATAATTGTAGTTCCAAGGATTCAAATTCATTCAAGGAGAGTAAAGTACGGCAGGGCAGCTATAACTGTATACTTTTTTTGTAGGTTTAAAATAATTAATAAAAAAATTATATTTCAGTAAAAAAACCTAATTTGGAACAATAATCTAGGAACACAAAACCTAAAACGCAAACGATAATTTTACAACTTAATACTATTTCCTAACGTTATCTCTCTAATAATAAATTCTAATATCTGCAAACAAAATCGATTAAATACCTAATTTAGATGAACTGACACTAATTTATTTATCTAATCGTTAAATTAGATAATTAGAAAGTAATAAAATATCAGGTATTAACCTGAGTAAATATTTACAATTTGTTTCTATCTTATCACCTTTTAAAGTCGTTGTTCTTACAGATTAAATATCTAAGCACCAATATATTATTATGATAATAGAATACTAAATTTAAACGACCTAAAAGTTACCTAAACTGAATCGAAAACCTTTAAGTGATTTCATAAAATTTATATTTGAAGAATAACACTAAAAATTATACAATGAAACAGAATACATTGGAGATGCAAAATTTTAACTTAGCCAAATATTATTGAACAAACAATGTATGGATGCATATGAACATAAATATTTGGGTAAAATACAAAGATTAATTGTGCTACTGTTTTGGTGAATCGAAATTACCATATTTATATATACAGGGTGACTGGTGAATTACTATCAATATTTAAGGAGAATACTCGGTACATGATTCTCATTCGAATTATGTAAAAAAATAGGTACTTAATTTTTGACCAAATTTCCGTATAAATAAATAAAGTGTGGACACGTTCCAAGTGTTCCAAGTGTGGACGCGTGCGGCGGCGTGCTGATAAAACACCACGCCGCCGCACGCGTGTGTGTGTGTGTATATATCTAATCTGTAGGGTGTTCACACGATGCGTAATTAATTACATAACTTTTGGTTAAATTTACTCAGAAGTTTATTAATATTTATGTTATATTAATTTTTATTTTGTCATATATGATCGTCAAATATCACGTCCTCAAGTATCGATAGTAATTCACCAGTCACCCTGTATATATATATATCTCCCATCTAATCGTATATATTTGTATTAACTAAACAGCTCTTTAAATATTATCACTTGTATTTATTGAAACACAAAAAATAAAGCAAAGGAAGTGCTTAAAACAGCTCATGACGTTGACTTAAAATAGCTTCCTACTATTTTATATTTTATTTTAGGTATTTTCAGTTAATAATTTTTATTTTTCTATCAGGGATTTCAATAAATTCATCAAGGTTGAATAAATAATCTTCGATCGCAGCATTATATTGTGAATTAATTACCAGAATTAATATGTATGTCTTAGTTGACAGAGGTCCAAGGGGACCGTCATAGAAATCCGGGAACAAACCTTTTCACGTAATGTTATGTCCTGACATGTAATTTGTCCCAACTGTCAACCAAATTTTCGAATTGATTCTAAGGCAATAGCAATACAACTCATCTAAGTGTTTATTATTAATAATAATAATAATAATAATTTATTTTTATCTCAGACATGGTCCATATTTAAATATTAGTAATACATGTCAACCTTATAACTAATGTTAGTAAAAGCAAATGAAATAATAATAATAATAATGAAAACAAACAAAATAAAACAGAGACAAACACAAAAGACAAAAATCGCTATTTTTAGGCAGCGTGTAGCCGTACCCAGTGGCGCAGTATTTCAGAGTCCCAGCGGCTAGCCAGTACACACCATTATTATTGTCGAGGAAATATTAATCAGAAAATAAGTTAAAAATTTAACAGTCTTCATATTTTTACAAATATATTCTTATTACATTATAATTATCTGGTTTTCAGAGTGTTTCTTTTTAATATCTATAAAAATCATTGCATTATTTCTCACTGCCCCACTGATTATTTTTAATTTCACGAAGATCTAATTATATAATAGTTTGCTATATTAAGATGATAATTACAAATTTGTTTCAACTATATAAAAATACTTTGAAGTTATTGATTTAAAAAAAATCAAATACCTAATAATAAACCGGTTAATAATAGAAAAAATTCAGGTGTTCTACCTGAACCAAAAGTTTGATAATATTTCAGGAAATTTGTTTCTTAGAAGGGAAAATATTACTTCTCTGACATTTCATTTAAAATAGGATAAATATATACGAGAGATGTACATAATATAGGGTGCGCCAGAGAAACTTACTTATTTAAAAAAATTACCGCGCGGTGAGTTGGGCGGGTAGAGGGGCAAGAGGTGGCGCATCTGAAGGGGCAAGTTCCCAAGTTTGTTTCTCCCTCCAGTCAGCTGCCATCATGCTCTGGTTTAGAGAGCAGCGGGCCTTCGCAGTTGAGAGCTTCTTTTCTAACGGTCGCTCACTTGTTACTACGCAACGTGCCTTCCGCGCTCGCTTTGAAATTCCTCCTCACAGACTCGTTCCTGGCCGTAATTCGATTCTGTCGTGGTTTAACTTATTTCGGGAGTGTGGAAGTGTCGCTAAACCCAGAAATGGACTTCAACGGACCATCAGAACTCCGGAAAATATCGAAAGAGTGAGGCAGTCAGTTGTGCGTTCTCCCCGGCGTTCGGCTCGCAAACACGCAGCTGCTATGGGAATTTCTGATACCACTGTTCGACGAATTCTCCATGAAGACCTTCAATTTCATCCCTATAAATTGGCTGTTGTGCAGGAATTAACTGAACGCGATTTTGTTGCCCGTCAAAATGCATGTGAAATGCTGATTGACAACCTGCCTGAAGACGCGGTCGTTTTTTTCAGTGACGAGGCACACTTCCACATTTCCCTGGTTTATGTCGATCGACCACGGACCATAGCACACCTCAAGAACAACATTCGCGACGCCATTACCAACATACCGATTGATATGCTGCGAAGAGTGGATACGAATTTCAAAATATCGACTTCATCAGTATATGCGCAATGGGGGTCACCATTTATCCGATGTCATTTTTAAGACTGCATGACAAAAAAATTGGGATAATGTATTCTCAAATAAAAAAAAAATAAAAACAATAACTGAAGTACTTTTTTTTTTATTGACCTTTCAAATAAGTAAGTTTCTCTGGCGCACCCTATATTTAAGAAGTCAGATGCACAATATTTTTTTATATATTTATGTGTTTCATGTAAGTTTAAATTTACCTTTGTAAGGCTTTATCTGACCGTGTTCTAAATTTATGAGCGACTTGGAATATTAATCGAAAAAAACATTGCTTATATAAAAATCCCAAGTATATGCACTATATCTAAACATTGTAAATAATACATTTAATATTCGGATTGAATACAGTCTAAGGCAGAATTGTTATATTTTAACAATTATTTACATGAAGGCTGAAATATTGAAAGTAAATGTCCTCCTTATAAAAACATAGTAAAAATATTATCAAGTAAAACAATTAACTCATATATTTTAATTTCTTTGTCCTCGTTATTGACAATCTCAATAGAATAATTCAAATTCAAATGTCATATATAATACACAAAATACACAAAGGATTTCAATTTATGAAAATTCTTTACTAATGGAAACAAAAAGATTACTTTTTAAGAAACCGTTTGGAAATTTTTACATTTAAAAGGATTTTCGTTCTCTTTTAGTTTATGTTATTTGTTGCAATAACTGTGGCCTTTAATAAATATATATTTATGTAAAAAAATCTATTAAAAAGCAACATAGCAACGCAGGAAGTATGTATAAATGAAAAATATTTTTTAATTTAATTACTATTTCCTAGCCAAACTGTCCGATAATCTTAAATATCTACAAAAAATCTTGTAAATACCTAATTTAGATGGATGAACACTATTTTTATTACTTTCCAATAATCTAACTTAATACCTGATTAAATATTTACAATTTATTACTATCTAATTACCTTTTGCAGTCCGAGGCTCTTACAGATTAAGTATCTTCATACTAATATATTATAGTTATTAATTTTATTAATTATCTTAATCGTTAACTTACATTTTTTATATGATAGTTTAGGTTTAAAAATTAAAATAAGATTAAAGTGTTTAATTACATAAAGTTGTTAATTAGTATAATAGAAAAACAAATACAGTACAACGACTTCAAGAGTTATCCGAAAAACGTGAAGAAAGACTATCTGAACTGTGTATTTGTAAGAAATATTTTAATTCCCACAATTCTTAGAGGATCCCATTTTAAAAAACATGACTTAGTTACCATGGGACTACTTGGAGGATACAATGTTTCAGATGAAAGTAGAATTTGCAAAATCGGTCCTGTAGTATCCAGTAGAAGAGCAATCGGAAACATACATAAAAATAAGATTTCGACGAATTGATTACCTCCTACTCATTTGAAGTCAAATAAAAAGTAATCATAATTAGAAATATATTTACAGATAATTTTAAACCTGTAAAAATATTTTTCAAAATATAGTCTTCACTTGAAATTATTTGTTTTGGTATTTATAGTTGAATTAGAATATTTCAAAACACCTACAATTCACGTAAGCTTAATATTTGAGATGTTTCCCTGAGTCACTAAAAACCTTGCCTCTAACGAAGAAACTTGTAAAAATTTCCTATCAAATTAAATTTAAAACTTATGTATTTACTTATGTATTAAGTAAGGTAATTTATATAAAGGAAATACATATATGATTCGAGCATTGATTACGAGTCTATTTAAAAAAATATATAAGGAACCTCCTACTTTAAACTACTGCAATAAAAAATATTATTCTACTATTTAAGTAATAAATAATTAACGTCAGATATTATGCTAAACATGTAATAAATGCGTGAAGGAATACTGTTGCTCTGTGCCTAAGTGAAGGCTTATGTGATAAACGGCTTATAATAGCCATATAGTTTTATTTGCTGGGCCTTATTCCATCTACATATTTCTTATTACATTTACATACAAAACATACGAAGTACCACCTAGTTAAGTCCCAATAAATACAATAATAAAAACAAACAATGAATGAGCCTCAAAAGCAATTTGCGAGATTTCCTTCCCCAATTTTTTGGTGCACTGAAAGAAGTCCGTCAATTTTTGTGTCAATTTAACTGCATACTGAGATATTTGTTTAATGGTTTATATTAATTGATATTTAGATAGAACAGATGTGATATGAGAATGTAAATAGTCTAAAGTGAAACAAATAATTAATAGCATTGTATAGCACCTAACCTTTTATTCTTCTTTAAATTTTTCTTAACATTTATTCCTTTCTGACTTTGTTTAATTATTATTTAATGTTCTTTGTGATTTTTGTGATGTGAGTGTATGAGAAGTGGGTTCAACATAAGACATTAGTGAAACTCTTATAAACAGTGGTACGAACTACGAACACATATAAGAATATTATAGGATATCGTTATGTTTATAAAATATGTATTAAATATTCCTGTTGTGTTTAAGTATTTGAGTTATCATTCTTACATTTAAAGATTAATTATATAATGGAATAGTGAAAGTAAGACTTACATAATAATCGTTGCGTCGTTAATAATATGTCAAACAAGTGTTTAATATAGTAAACTATTGTAATCTGCTTGTGTTATAAAACAGATTAAAATTTATTTACATGATACGCTACGGTGTTATATTGATTCTAAGTAAAATTGATCATTCTACTTGTGTCTAACTCAGCAGTTCCGTGTGAACAGACTTCTTAGATTTATTTTTGTTTTTAAAATATTGTTTCGCTTTTTGTACACCCTTCGTACAATGTAGTCGAATCAATTAATTGTAATTTAGTTTTAAAATTCATTAAAATTAGTTTTAATTTTGGTTTCTTTCCTTCCACCCACCGTCACCCCCTCTATTGCCTAGTTTTATTTTTATTTATTATATGTCAGTAGAAGATAGTTTGATTAAGAAATGTTGTTCTTACCATCAGTCATAAGGATACTCCAATTCATCAATGCCGAAGAAAACTTTGTCTCGCCTGCGTTTTTAGGTTAAAAATTCTTCTCGTTTCTCTTCAAATTCAAAAATTTGTTTTTCAATTATTTTATAGATATTTTGTGTAACTTGTTCTGCCATGTTTTTTTTCACTCTCCGCCAATTAAAAATTAATTATTTGTTTACATAATATGTATATGTGTCGTCCTCTAGTGGCGTAACTTTGAATTTTCTTGAGCTGAACGGTTGATCGATACGCTGACTTTGTAGTAGTGCGTGGTTATTTCGATAGATGGAGGGACTAGTATCACTTTATTTTTGTACGACTATTCAAGACGTGGTTTCTTATTGTAAAAGAGGTTATGATTTTTTTTTACAGCATTAATGTTTGTTCTTAATCACTCATAGTCACCAGATAAGTAATTAAAGTTCAACCAAATGCCTCATAATTGAAGTAAACACGAAAAGGTCGGCAAGAAAAAGGTCACAGTCACTGGTACTTGTTTGACGTTTATCGTTCTTCAGGTAGTATCATTGTTGAAATTTTCAATATATCACGAAGATTATCAAGTATTTTTTCACATTAACACTGCTTTGATTTGATATAATTTTTAAATATTCATTTTAGAATTTTATCACAAAGCTGTTAACTGTACTTAGCACTCTCTCTCCCCTCTTTATTGTACTATAGTGTAAGTATAATATATATATATATATATATATATATATATATATATATATATATATATATATATTATAAAATATTACTAAGTGACTAAAATAAGAGTTTTATTTTATGTAGTATTTTAACATGACGTGCATTTGTAAGTTTTCATGCGTTTGAAACCTTCATTTTTTTTTAATGTCTGAGTTGGAACAATGTTAAATCTTATTAATAAGATTTTTTTCTTAGCAACATTTTCAAGCTATCTTATTCGTTCCTATCTAATCTTAGTTCGTGTGATATACCTACTTTTGATATACTATCTGATTTTATTGCAGTTTACGTAGACGGCACTACAAGATTTTATTAATATGTAGTAGATGTTCATATCTCGAAACCCCCAGCAAGGCTATTTTACATTTATATTTTATAAAATAAAGTCCAACCGGCCATAGACGAATTTCAAAGAAATATTATAGTAAAAGTATGAAAAATCTTTAACAGTTTTATAGATTCTCATATGAATATTTTAAATTAGGTCACGTATTGAGACAGTAATATCCAGCTTTATTAATATTTACATATCAAAAATTATTATCTTTGTTTTCATAAATTTTCAATGTAACATAAAAGTAAATGAAATCCTGTCTTTTGTATTTTAGAATGTACACATAACATATGTTATACATAATCTTCTATATATATAAAAATGGATTGCTGTTCCTTAGTCTCGCTAAAACTCGAGAACAGCTGAACGGATTTATCTTATCTTAGTCTTGAAATGTTCGTGGAGGTTCAAGGAAAGTATAAAAGGTGAGAAAAATTGATTCATTTCCGGGAAAACCCTAAAAACAGCCCTTTTCTATTTCCCATACAAATGTTTTCTTTGACATTAGATTTGACAACTAACTAATATGTCAATCATTCTGTTCGACTGAAACAGGAAAAACCTGATTATTTATGGCCTCTAGGACGGAATAGAGTTCGCCCAGTCAGCTATACATATATTACTAATGATGAAATTAACGCGGACGAAGTCGCGGGCAAAAACTAGTTACATATAATTGTCACCTTCAAAAAATATTTTTAGACGTTAGATTTAATGAAAATGGAGGGATCTCTCCCTTAGAAACAGTCATTTTTACTATTCTTCCCATAATCTCTTCCATAAACACATTAATTTTCCTGAATCCTCGTTTAACTCTTACCAGGAGGTAGGAACCCCTTCGTGACGAAGCAACGAAACATGGTTAATTTTCTGTACCCGACTTATTCAAGTATGCACGATTGTAGATATCTTATTTTGAAAAGTCTTAAACCAAATCTATTTCTGTATTTAAAATAAAGCTTTCCCGAATACCTGTATTAACTGTATCTTGCAGGCTTATAATATACAAGATGCAATTGTTTGACTAAATGCACCAGTTTTGGCCTTCTATGACACACACATAACTCGATAGGAACTGTTATATTATATAATCCAACCTCAAATTGAATCATTGTACAGGTGAGGGGTGCAATGAGGAAACGAGGTCATGCATTCGCAAGTGTAAGCTCAATCGCTGCAAATTTGACTGAAGTTCCTGTAAACATTTAATAGATGAATTCAGAGCCAAGGTATCAAAACATCAATAGTCACAATATTATGTCGAATTTTTTACGACTGTGATTTGTAATTTTCCTATCTTCTTATCTCGGTTCTTTTATCTCATTTAACTTTTTTTTCAATGTTCTTAATCGCTTCTCTGATTATCTTCGGGGACAACAAATTGCACGCGATAACAATACCTTGTTTGATTGATGCGACTTGATTTGCGATGTAACGAAACGTGATATATTTAATTATCTCTTTTTGTTTTTATTTATCGATTAATGACTAAAAATCCCCCCTGGTGTTATCATTGGTAAGTTACTGACCTTGATATTTACAGACGCTCTACTTCTGATAGTTTTGATAACGCAATTGAAGCCATCAATGATCATCTTCGGGGAGTCAACGATTAAAGTGTGAAGTTTGAAGTAACAGTGAACCATCATCAATGTCAGGCAATTGTCATCGGAACCCAAGGATGCCTCAGTCAATTACAAGGTATATAGCAGCCTCAATTTACAATAACAAACAAATCGATCACATATCTTCTTCCAAAACCTTTGGACTTTCTATTAACGCTTCATTGATCTGTAATATTCCTATCGATGAGGTGTGCAAAAAGGTTATGTCGTAAATTCGTGTTTTATATTGACGTAAGGATTTCTTACCCAACAGAACCAAGACTCTATAGAGTATCAGTAGTACTATCTATGCTCTTTTCACTCTTTCATACTTTACGCAGTCACTGCTATTATAAGCCATATGATAGATCAGCATCCCATCGCTTGTGTGCTGCTTGTGAGCAGTACATCCAGACATTCAATTATATTTATTAAAAATGATGATAAAATTTGTATGTATACCCAAAATTTTGTTTATCATTTCACACAAATATATTTATTATAATCTTATCTGAAAGAAACGAAAGGCATAATTCTATGATAGTCATAAATATTGGTAGAAATATCAGCAAGCAATTTCGATTCTAAATTAACACAATTTACACAATCTACAGTTGCAGCGGATATTTTGATATCGTTGTGTTATTTGCTTATTTTTTTGAGAATGCATAAATTAAAATTAACTGGATTTCAACTTCAAGTACTTATTTCATTATGTAGTAAGTAATAAAACATGTTATAACATTTTATTTACATTAATTTAATATTAAGCTACATTGAATCGATCTTGTTTAATTGTTATAATTTATTGAGATTATTTATATTCCTATGCGCTTTTGTAATGTTTGTTCATAATTTTTCAGTTGTAAAATGAGGTTCTCATAATTAATTTTATTAAAGAACCAGTTGTAAATTGGTACTCACAAGTTATATCTACAATATGGGTAAAGAAAACGCTGTTCTTATAAACGATGATAATTATTCATTTCAGTGTATTTAGGACAAATGCTCATTGGTTTTACATTATCGTGGTCTGGACCCATAATACAGAAACTTCAAGACTTAGAACAATCTCCTTTATCAACGAAATTGACCGACACAGAAGCTTCTTTTATTGGATCTTTATTATACATTGGCTGCATACCAGGTGGGTAAAATGAATATGAAAATTGAAACAAAAATTTTAAATTTATTAACTAGTTTTTGACTGTGATTTCGTTCGTTTAACTGCAATATGAGGTTTGAGTGAAATGAAAAAGCGAGTTAAAGCATTACATATAGCATTCTGTCGGTAGCAATAATAGTCAGCATCGTGTAACCTCATCGAAATAACTAGTGTTATGCCTTGATACCTCGAATGACTACAAAGAATGTTATAATAAACTACCATCTATGTTTTGTTTGGTGGCCAAACGAATATCTCATTAAAACCCTTTAAGTAGTAGTTCTTCATAAATGAGCTACAAAAGTCCATAGATTGCAATTATAACATAAGTAAGTTTTTGTTATTCAACTATTTCAGGTCCATATCTAGTTGGATGGCTTTCAAACGTCAAGGGTCGGAAAGCATGTTTGCTACTCGGTAGCCTTATCAGCGTGATAGGTGAGTCCGTGCAATACATAGAACTTAGCTCAATGAAAATTGAGGTAACAAGAGTTTCAAATAATGTTCTCCTTTTTGCATAAATATAAAATATTATAAGGCACAACAAAAAAAAAAATGATTAGCTTAGAGAAGTTGTTAACAATAAACATGTGTCATCAATTTTTAAATACCAGTTCTTGTAAAATTCGATTTTATATATAAAACTAATAGTCTCACTCACATACGTATTCTTAATTCAATTTTTTTGATAATAATTTATATCTTTCAGGATATATTTTGCTTATAATTACTCGCACTCTGGCAATGCTCTACGTAGGAAGAATATTAACAGGATTGGGCGTTGGCTGCGTCTTTTTAATGGTCATTGTTTATCTGGGAGAAATAGCGTTAGTATAAAATAAAGCCACGACAACTCGATTTTAATAGGTTTTATTCACTTATTTTGTCACTTACTAATGATCATCAAACTTCTTAATATAAATAAGTCTTAGGGAACCGAAAATCGGATTCTAAGCTATCATTAGCTCACAAACAACACGTTGCTTATGAAAAATTTAAGTTTGTATCAGTCTTATGCAATATTGTGTTTAAGTTTTATAAATTTTATACATTATTATTAAATTAAAAAAAAAATACCAAGAATAATTGAATTTTTTGGTCTCTGTGACAAATAAATTTTTGTTTCCAGGTCTACCAATAGGCGTGGTACCCTGCTTGCTATTGTAGGAATATTTGCGACTTTAGGTGGGATGGTGTTATTCTCAGCTGCAATATTTTTCTCCTACCAAGGAACAAACTACGTTGGGTTGGCAATCAATGTAATATTTACTTTAGGCGTACTAATGATTCCAGAGTCGCCGATGTTTCACGTTTTGAAAGGTTAAATCTATTAACAGATTAAATTGTACTGAAATTATTTTAAATTTTTACGATATTAAAGCTGCGAATATTGTTACAGGAGATGATAATGCTGTTAAAAAAACATTACAGGATTTGGACAGATTGGACGATTTAGAAAAATTAACTGCAGCAAAAAAAGATTACAGAACCATAAGTAATATTAAAGATTGGAGAGATTTGTTTACATTAAAGGGTAACAGAAATGCATTATTCCGAGTTATGTCAGCTAGCATTTTCCAACAGTGCAGTGGTGTGATGGCCGTTATATTTTTTTTCCCGACAATTTTTGAAATAGCTGGCTCGAAAATAGAAGGAAATCTGGGGATGATAATTATTGGATGTTTTCAGTTGGTAGGAAGCACCGTAACCCCTGTTTTTATTGAAAAGATAGGAAGAAAGATCGTCTTGATGATATCCTGTGTGATTTGTTCTTTGGCTATGGTACGTTATATTTTTAGACCCGCCCTTAATTTTTTTTCTTAAACTAGTTACATTACATGAACGTCAAAATCGAAACATTCTGTTTTAACAAGAGCTTATTTGAAAAAAACTATCTATTTTGATTGTAATTTGATCCTGAAAACTTAAGGCGTTGTACCTCCGTTGTTATTATATCAAATTTGGTCTGGTAGGGAGAGGAGTTTGAACGGTAGAGGTGAGCGTTTAAGGTGCGTTAGATAGGAGCGCTTTAAATCTTCGCCTGGGTCGCAAGTCCCAGGCACAGTTGAAGCTCCTCTCGCTGCAATGCAATGGACCCGGCACTCGCACGGTGAATCCATTGAATGCGAAGAGGTTTCTTCTCTTCATCTTGTTTAGATATAACATATAACCCAAGCGGTATTTTAATTTGTTCACTCTTGTTAATACTTTTTTAAACTGGGTGATAGCCCTCATAAAGAGACGAAACTTCTCAGCATTCCATGGGTTCATCGTGCGGGTGCCGGGTCCATCGCGTTGCAGGGAGAGGAGCTTCAACAGTGCCTGGGACTTGCGACCCAAGTGAAGATTTAAGGAGCTCCTATCTAACTATTCGCTTGAGATGAATGAATAATGTTTAAAAAATCGGTAATATTAAAATTAAAAAATAATCTTGTTTTTATTTCAGTGCATACTGGGAATATATTTTTATTTGTTGCATCTTGAAAATCCCGTGATTGAAAACGTTCAATGGTTGCCACTTGTAGTACTAATATTATTCTTCTTTGGTTATGATTCAGGTAAGGTATTCATAGGAATAGTTTTTCTTTATTTTTTTTATATAAACTAAAAATATTTATTTTAGTAAAAAAAAATTGTTGTTACGTATAACTTTTTAAACAAAAACTTTAAATGGAATAAAAAAAGATACTTCTCACAACGTAAGTTTACAAAATTTTTTTGATTCTTTGCCTTGCCGACTCAGTTATTGTATACTTTAAATTTCTTTAATCTACACTGCATTTGAAATTAACATATTAAAAGAAGTTACTGCATTACAATATTTTTACTGTTAAACCATTTTCATAAAATATACTTTTCAGGTCTGGGAATAATACCGAATGTCTTGATCGGTGAGATGTTCACGCCAAATGTTAGGAGCAATGGCTCAACATTAACAATTACAGTAGGATGGTTAATTGGTTTCCTGGTAACTACAGTTTTCGGAATGGTAGTTAACAACGTTGGTGCATTCGTTTCATTTTGGTTCTTTTCCTTTACTTGTGTTCTCGCTTTCTTTTTCACAATATTTTTCATTCCTGAAACTAAGGGTAAAAGTTTGTTAGAAATACAATCTGATTTAGATAAAAAATAGCAACACATAGATCACGGCCATAAAACTGAATGTTGGATAATGTCTGTTGTTATTTCATTAGGGTTTTTAAACCTTTAATATTTATAAATGGTTTAAACAATTAATTTATAATTAAATTTTAATTAAAAATATGTTGATCATAAAGTAACAAAAAGTTATGATAATTAAATAAGAAAACGGAGCATAGTGAAACCTTAAAGAGATTGCATAAATTATGTTCCAACGTAGAAAATAATCAGTCAAATCGTTTTAAGTATAATCTATCAGATAACAAGTTACATAAACATGACAGAGGAAGGAAGTCTTATAGAGAATTTTATATCAAGAATCTTAAATTGCTAGTCTTAAATAACATTATTATTTATTATAATTTTTTCAACGCTCTCTAGGAAGTTAACAACATGAATTTTCTTGAAGGAAGCAGTACTGTAGTTTTTTATTTGTGAATTATAATACTGGCTAATATCGTGCAACATTAAGTTAACCTTGTTAAATTATTTTTTTATGAGTAAATTCTTTGGATTCATTCTTGAGTTTTTCTTTGACCTACTATAGCTCATGTAAGTACGATTCGGTTTTTCTTTAATTTATAGATGGATTTAAAAAAAATATACAACAAAAATTGCAGTTATAACGAACTTTATTCATGGTCTTACAGTTATTAATAGTTATATATTTTATGGCAAGGATATTATTGAATTCTATTGTTATTATTTTAAATTAAATTTAAATTTGTCTCATGAAATACATTCTTGTTTGGCACATTCTCTATTATTTCCAATTATTTGCTTTATCTATTTCTTATGTATTTGATTTACATGTGTGTATTTGTGTCAAAGTTACCAATACATGTAGCTTTTCATAATCTCATCCCTTAATATTTTTTCTTGTGGTCTCATACGTTTAAATGTTTTTATGAAATTACTTCTAAACAAAGGCAACTTTTCACGTATGTGCACGACTATATTTGTACCCATGCTATGAAAACCAGTATATAACACATTTCAAAGAACTGTTGGCGAGGACAGTATATAATACATTTTATTTAGATTTTAGTTTTCGTAGTAAACTAAATGAAACTTTTGAATAATATAGGAATATACGAATAAGAATGAAACATACTATCTACGTTGGTACCTATGTATATATTTTATAATATTAGCAAAAAATCAAAGAGATTTGCTACTAGACATTTTGAAACTAAATCAAAGGTGTAGACGCTGGCGTACACTCCAGAAGTGTAAAAATATTTAAGCAAATTTATTTGAACGACTTCTTCTTCTTTTTCTACAAGAAACGGACTTGTAAGTTTTGTGTTTAACTTAAACCTTATTGATTGCATTTTAGAATATTTGAATTTTGTGAATGAAATGACTGTTACATACTTCGTCATAAAATTGTAAGGAATTGTTATTTTGTCCTATAATTGTTTATTATTAATTATTGATATTCTAAAATATAAGAAGAAACATGTTACGTACGCACTACATATTAAAAAAAATGACCAACGCCGGGGCAACATCTTTCTATCGGTAAAATATCGTATACCGAGTGACGCTGCTGACTCCGCGGAAACAACACCAAGCCGTGTGAACGAGAAGATTCCACATATCACAGAAGCAATAGAATGTCATTGTCATCCTAACATCGGGGCAATCATGTAGTCTTAGGTATATATTATAAGTTATAATATAGGTTTCTGGGCACTGATTCGTGTAAGAATTGCGAGCACCTAGAAGAGATATACTCAAAACAATAACTCATTAGTTAAGGCTTGCTCGAATATTAATGTAGGATATTTGTTAGAGCATTGGGCCTAAAATACACACACACTATCAAGGGGTATGCTAATGGTTATTGTGCGGTCAAGCCTGTGCTCACAATTTTAATATTAATTTAAGGTCTTTGTTTTAGTTTATAAGTCATTATTTGTCTATTTGTAGTATACTAATTAAATAAATAGTGTGTAAAATTGGAATATTATGGTTCTGGAAATAAAGTTATTTATTTATTATTTATTTATTTATAACATGTAGTTTTTTATTTTTATATATATATATATATATATATATATATATATATATATATATATATATATATATATATATATATACAGGGTGACTGGTGAATTACTATCGATATTTGAGGACGTGGTAGTTGACTATCATATATGACAAAATAAAAATTAATATAACATAAATATTAATAAACTTCTAAGTAAAGTTAACCAAAAGTTATGTAATTAATTACGCATCGTGTGAACACCCTACAGATTAGGTATACACACACACTCACACATACGCAGCGGGGGCGTGGTTTTGTATCAGCACGCCGCCGTACGCGTCCACACTAGGAACACTTGGAACGTGTCAACACTTTATTTATTTATACGGAAATTTTGTCAAAAATTAAGTACCTATTTTTTTTACATAATTCGAATGAGAATCATGTACCGAGTATGCTCCTTAAATATTGATAGTAATTCACCAGTCACCCTGTATATATATATATATATATATATATATATATATATATATAAAAGTATTTTTCGTAGTTTCCCAGGAACCTCCGGTTGCCACCCTACATAATTAACAACTAAATATTTCAAGTGAAAGTTAAATAGCTATCCTATAATTTTCACTTTAATGTCTCACTATGTAACACTTTGCATACTAAACAATATCTCTTTCAGAATTTTATTTCCAACTTAAAATATAATTAATTTTTTGTATCAGTCGTTTTTTAAATAAATTAAAATTTAACATCATAAACGATCAAATATATTTTTGCATATATACTATTTATATGAATGTACTGTTTTTTTAATTATTTTCGACTAGACGTAATGTACTGCGATTCGCGATACATTTAATGAATGATTACTATTATCTTAATATTGTATTTCTTTACAAAACTCTTATTCTTAGAGATACAAATGTGTATGTGCAATGTGCATCGGTATTTATACGTAGTATTTTTGAAATTGTTATTATCATAAGATAAAAAAAAGTTACAGTTCTTTGCTTTATGTATGTACTATTTTATTATTTATTATTTCTATTACTATAAATCGAATTACCTACTTCCTGTACAAAATTATTCTGAAAATAAGGACGTGATAGACTTATTCAATAGATTTTTAGCTCTGATATAACAAAAAAAAGGTATTAGTTGAATATTTAAAGAGTACAAAAGAAAGAGTGATATCGTACGTGATTAATGATATATTCATGAAAGGTTTTTTAGGTCGTTGAGATAAATATAATTGAGTTCCTGACCTTTATTTATATTTTACAATTGTAATAAATTGTATCAGATTTATAAGTCTTGCTAGTTTTTACTCAACTTGTGTACAAAATGTGTAATCAACATTCAAAACTAAATTGCTTGGAAAGTTCCAA